CGTCCCTCACACAATGCTTTCATTCAGTGTGTATATGCAAATCTACTGGATCGATGTGCTTGAATGACTCAGTGATCAGTAGGCGACGGTGTGAAACGTGGGAATCGTCAATGGGAAATATATTTACGGACGAAGCATACAGTAAGTGCGATGTTGAACGCCACCAATCAGTGCTTCACTCACATCCCATAACACTCACCTTCTCCCAGTACTCACTTCCACCGATTCCTCTCCCATTCCCCTCATTTCCCCTGCTTCGCTCAAACCTCTTCTATCCTATCCACCACCAATCACATGTGCACAACACACTCATTCTCGCTCTCCACACTTACTCACTCTGCATTGCTACCATTCTGGTCGAGCAGTTCTGAGACCAGCGATTTCGTGCCAGCCATAACCAACACAAACAACCCTACTCTCCCACTCTTAACACCGATAATAATGATCATACAATAAGTGCACAATACATCAACATCAACATCAACGCCAACACCAACACCAACACCTCCACCAAGAACATCACCACCACAACCACAACCATCACCACCATCACAAACACCACCACCACCGACAACAACAACACCAACAACATCAACTCTGAAGCACGCAATCACAATTAGTGATCAGAAATTTAGTGATAATCAGCAGGAAAATGACCGTCAGTGTCAAGGTAGTTGTCACCGTCATCGTCATCGTCATAATCATCACAATCACCATCACCATCATCATTAGAATAACCGGATCGACAGTCGGTGATCAGATTAGTCCCAATAAAATTAATAGTAATAATAATAATAATCACGGTAATAGTGGTGACAATAATAATCGTAATGAAAGTAGTGGTAGTGAGAGTAATGTTTATGATAATATTAGGAGTAATGAAAATAGTGATATTGCATATTGGATTACAAATAAGAATGTTCAATAATCCTAATAATGGTATTAATGAGAATGACGGAATTGTTGATGATTTGGTGGTGATTTGGTCAACTGGCATGTGGGTGCTCGCGCGCGTGCGATATATGTGTGAATGAAGCAGAACTGGGACGGACATGTATGTATGTAGTGTGTGCGTGTTCTGAGATTTTGGACCCGCATATGCATATCCTTGTGTAAATTCGGCCATATATATCTTGCATTGATTAGTTTTTTTTGAAGCTTTGCGCCAGGATGAGACAAAGAATGAAAGTTATTTTATATCAACTTTCGCATACTTTTGGGAACTAAAGGTCGCGGCATTGCCTTGGTCGTGTCATAGTAGATTATAATGCCATCGATAGGTGATGGGAACTGTTTTAAATTGAGACTTGAATTGTTTGTTTTAAGCAGGTTTTGTAATTCTAGATCCTGCTCTTGTTCGTTTCTCAACGTCTCGAAGTTTACTGTAGACTGCTGTAGCACGTTCATTTCTAGCCTAGATAAAGCATCTGCCGCCTGATTGTCCTGACCTTTGACATGTCGGATATCGCTTGTGAACTGTGATATATAGTCAAGGTGTCGGACTTCTCGAGGTGAGTATTTATCGGCTCTCGCTTTTAATGCATTCGTTAGTGGTTTGTGATCCGTAAAGACTATAAATTCCCTACCTTCTAACATGTGTCGGAAGTGTTTAATGGTCAGGTAGATTGCAAGAAGTTCTCGCCCGAAGGTAGAATACCTTGTCTCTGCTGGAGCGAGTCTTTTCGAGAAAAAAGCAATTGGTTTCCAGGCGTTGGTTAAGGGTACCGCCTACTGCTTTATCTGAAGCATCCACCATCAAAGCAAGTGGGGAAAGAGAATTCGGATATATCAACGTAGTTGCTTGAGCCAGTTTATCTTTAAGCGTCAGAAGACAGTTTGAATTCTTTTGGTTTTCCTTTAAGTGAATCTGTCAAAGGTTGCATTAATTGTGCACAACCTGGTATGAATCTGCGATAAAAGTTAATTAGACCTAGAAAACTTCTCAGTTGTGTTAGAGAACTAGGTATGGGGTATTGTTTGATGGTATCCACTTCTTTTTTGATAGGTTTAATCCCTTCTGGGCTTATTGTGTGACCGAGAAATTCTAAAGTTTGAACACCGAAAACACACTTACTTTGATGTATGTTTATTCCATGTTCATCCAGTCTTTTCAACACTGCTTGTACATGCTGTTCGTGTGATTGCAAATCGGGGCTGGCAATTAACAAGTCGTCTATATACCCCTGCGCAAATGGCATATCTCGAAGTAGGTTATCTATGAATCTTTGAAATGTCTGTGCCGCATTTCTCAGGCCGAATGGCATGCGTACAAACTCGAATAAGCCAAAGGGTGTAGTAATAGCTGTCTTGGGAATATCTTCATCAGCCACCGGGATATTGTGATATGCCCTGACTAAGTCAATTTTAGTGAATATGTTCATACCCTGTAAACCGTTTGTGAAATCTTGGATATGAGGTATTGGGTACCTATCTGGTACGGTTTGACGGTTTAGGGCTCTGTAATCCCCGCACGGTCGCCAGTCACCTTCATTCTTCTTTGGGACCATATGCAAAGGGGATGCCCATTGACTATCAGAGGGACGGATAATACCCAATTGTAGCATATAATCAAACTCGGCCCTAGCGATTTTGAGCTTATCTGGTGCTAGTCTCCTGGGTTTTGCAAACACCGGTGCACCTTCGGTTTTGATAGTGTGACTTACTTTTAGTTTGTCTTTGGAAGGCTGTGGGTTTGGTTTAGTTAAGTTTGGAAATTCCGCGAGTATATCTTGGAATTTCGCTGTTGTTACTGGAGGAGTTTGAATCAAGTTAAGAGAGCTGATGTGACTTTCTTTGCCTTTTGTGTAATACGAAGTTTCTTTTAGTGTTAATCGCCGTTTCTTGGTGTCAACTAGAAATTCGTATCTCTCTAGAAAGTCCATCCCCAGTATTGCCAGATCTAAGTCGGCTACCGTGAAAACCCAAGGGAATTGCCTCCTGAACCCCAAATCTAGGGTTAAAGTTTTCTGCCCAAATGTCGCGATTTTAGTTTTATTTGCAGCTTGAAGTGTAATTGGGATGTTTCTCGACTAATCTCAGTTTTATTTTGAGGGATGATGCTAAGAGCAGCGCCAGTATCCACCAAGAAATTCAAGCCAGAGTTTCTGTCTCTAACATAAAACAAGCGACTGTTTAGGCGCCCCTCCCCAGTCGTCGCGACCTGGGGAGGGGTTACTCGTTTCCCGCTGTCTTAGAATTTTGCTTAGGCCAGGCGCATGGTTGCATGCACTTGGTTGAGTTGACACCAAACTTCCAGTGGTACCAACAAAACTGCCCAGATTGTCTGGACATTTGTGACCTGTTTTGTGACTTGGATCGTGGTCGTTGTGGTGACCTGCTCCTGTTTCTATGACCCATTTGCATTCTGGTGACAGCCTCAGTGAGACTCTTAACACTCGCAATGAGTCCTTCTATGACCGGGTCTTTTGCTGATTCTACTTTTTGTGTGTGATTTATTGTGCCTGATCCAGTTGGAGGACCTCTTTCCATTATTCTGTCGGCTATACGCGCTAAATGAGATAATGAGGTTTCAGGATCTTGTGCATCCAAACAGTGTTGGACGTAGCATGGGAGAGCTTGTATCCATCCTTGTTTTAGGACTGCTTCACCCACTGTGTTATCACCCACTAAGACTTGGAGGTGACGTAAAAACTGTGACGGCGACCGATCACCTAGTGTTTCTCCTTGAAAAAGTCTTTGGATTCTTTGACTATCTGATAATGATAAACGGTTCATTATCTCTCGTCTTAAGATGGTGTGTGGTTGTGGTGATGGTGGACTTAAAATCAAGTCACGGACTTCTTTGGCGACTGAAGGAGGAAGGATAGAACACAAGTCTCTATAGCGAATCCCTTCAGATTTGATATTGTGTCTCGTGAAATAATGCTCTAGTTGAGCAAACCACAACTCAGGATCACTACGATCGAATTCTGGAAGTCGGGATTTCGTAGTCATAACAGTGTCTATCTCCACTGGTGACAAATCATCCAGATTATGGGTTTCTATTGAGTCTGACATGAGGAATGTGACAAATATAGCAATAAAATTAGCACGAAAAATGGTTACAAAAACACGAATAGCTTAAGATTAAAAAAATGAACTATGTATATACCGAACTTAGTTTACGGATAATCAGAAGGTCTACTTTTGCGACTAAGTCGAAAAATAATATTAATAACAAAAATGAGGTTAAATTTGTGTTCAATAAGGCTCACCAGAACAGGAGGCAATGTGATAACGGTACACAGATTGTTGAGTACACCAGGCCAAATAAACACAAACACATTACCGGAACATCATCTCAACGTTCCTCAAAGAAAATCTTGATAGATCATACATCAGCGAGCGAATATTCAGGAATACTTTTGGTGGCCCATTGATTTTCCTTGAAAAAAATCTTCGACTGAACTCAATAATATTATACTTAAGAATAATCGAATTTGTCTGTCCGGAAGCTAGAACAACCCATCTGAGGTTGGCATAGTACTGAATGCTACACGCTCTCACTTTTCACCATAAAGTTGCCTCGATTTAGAATACACCGCTAGTCGGGGTGACCACAGCAGTGAATAAGTTTAGGGAGAGATTTAACAACCGCGTATTCCCCAATGGACTTTCACCTCCATTTCGGACCATATGTGTCTAGCAAACGTCTCAGATTACTACAGTTATCATTACCATATATTACTAGCTACTTCCTACACCTCTTAATTCAATCTCCATTTCCCTACCTATTCTTCCCTATACAACAACAATCACTTATTTGTTCTGGAGACAAGATCAGTGACCTGAATAGTCTCTACAAACAAAAAACGATGACGCAGAATAAAGCAGTGGACTAATATCAGCTCACCAGAAGACGCTGGATATACCTAATTGATACTCCGTGAGTTGTTTTAGTGTGCCACCATTCAAGGTTACTTAGCGGTGATTGAAGATCGCTCAGTTGATTTTGGAAAGTTTTGACTGTGACTTTGCCGTTTCTGGCTGTTGTTCCCGATATGACATCATCGGATAATCTTCCTCTTAATGAACTTGAAAAGGAATTGCTAGATCCGAATTCGGAATGTTATTTGGAAAACTTGTTGGATGTGGTTTCAGCATTGGTTAGTGATTGTGACTTTCCTTCCGCTAAAAATTCAAAAAGCGTGCAGTCTTTCCTTAAAAAGTATGTAAAGTGTTTTCATTGTACCTATTTTGAGTTTTTCAAATGTTATAGTCTGACATCGTTTGCACTGACTCATTTTTGAGCATGTAGGCTGAGTAGATGATATACATTTGGATATATTTAAATGTAATGTAGTTCTAAAGGAGTCTTCACCAATACACCTTCCTTACCATACTTCGTTCCCAACCGTGCGGAGGATCTCCATCGAAGCGTTACGGTATTGGTCACCCTGTTCATCTAGTTCGCACAAATCCTGTTCTCGTTCCCTTCAGGAAGACCTCTCAATCATTTGGAATCGAAAAAGATCCCGGTTTCAATTCACAACACTAAATGATGTGGTCATAACTAGCTTTTACCATTCTATCATCTTGAGCTAAGGTAGACTTTTCGTGGCTCGCGTCAATTTTTTAATCTGAAGAAAGAAAGAATCCACAGTTTCATTTATTCTTTCACTGCAAGCAACCATATTGTGTAATAGACTGTTAAATAGCTACCATAATAAAAGCATCACCTTCTCTATGTAAATAATTGCGACTTAGTGTTCTGTCTATCAGCTTACTGAGAAGTTATTTACTTCTGGAGATCTAAAAATCTTTCAGTATCATCGTTATGTTGAAATTGTATACGACTGTAGACTTTATAGACACCAGTTGGACTGTCTTTTAAGTGTTTTATCCATCATTCTAGTAATCTATAGAAACAGTACATCGTGGTATCTTTTTCGGGTATGGTTCACCTTGATGAATCTGAATAGCCGTTTGGTGTTTGATATAATTGCATAAACTTTGAGTTAGATAGCTTCCACAGCAGGGTAGATTGAATAGTTTATAGTTCCACACCCATCCATCATTTATTTGTTACATGACTTCTTATGTCTATTTTTGTATCCAATATTCCATACGTATTGTTTTGTTCAGCGGTCTCGTCTTTGATCTCAAATCATTTGAGCTCTTTCGCCATCACTTAGCCTCACTATATCGTTGTATATCTTTTCTTAATCGGGTTTCTATTCATCCATCTTAATAATTACAACCCTCATTCACTCAATAAATCCTATTTCGCAACAGTGTTACGCAACGTTGTCACATTTGTCTTAGCTACTTCGGCTTTGTTTCGGTACGGAAATTGTGTCCTGTTGTCAGTAAAGTACTAACCCGTGCTGCTCTTGCCATGACATGTACTGAACGTAATACTGGTTGTTCTGAATTTAATCCAATTGAGGATCTGGCTTGAGTGTTGGAGGCCGGCCGAAAGATAATATAGCGATATTTCAGAGCCATCCAACGGCGTGTATATAGTAAGAAGAGAGAGATCCTTGAAAGATTATTCAATATCTGGGAAAAGTTATATAAACAAGACTACTCACAATACATTTTCGTGATCTTGGAATAAAGATCAAATATACTGTGTTTAGTGGGAACAGAAAAAGAGTACAATGAGGTTTATAATTTTCTGTTTTGGTTTTAAAGCAAACAGTCAGATGCCTACACCTTTAGATAAGTCCCACACTGACCCCATTCTCAGCCGTAAATTATTTATTGCCATTGTATTTCTGCACATCTGGATCTTTTTAAATGATTTAAAATAACCCCCAAATGCCTTGGTACGGCCGAGAGTGGGGAGAGTCAGCTCTCCCTCTCGAAATGTTCTCACATAGTCACGTGATAAAATCACTGTCTCCGCGGCGCGGGTGTTGTGGAATTGAAAAGACGAAAAGAGAATGTTCGGCGCTTCAACCGGGTTGGTGGACACCTAGGAGATTGGAAAACCCTGATTCCAAACCAATCGTGCACATGGGCTTCGGGATCCTGAAGGAACAAGTGGCGTATGAACCAATCGTTGGTGACCGGCTACCATGAAACTGCATCTCACGTTTTTCCATTGCCTTGTGGATCAGACCTTTAGGTAAAAGGCTCTGGATGTGGCCTTCTAAGGAACCACCCGCTTCGGTTTAGGCACGCGGACAGTGTCCCAACCCTCACGAAAACCGAATGATTTATGTGACACCCATCTATTGGGTGCCTCCTTGTACCGATGCTTATGTGTTTAAGTAAATAAATAAATTTTTGAGAACAATGTATAAAGCTGACGACACTGGTATATTCGACAAACTCATGGCTCCATGCTTCGGAAGCCTGCTCTGAGAGTCGATCCCTCATAGGTTTCGGACAACCCGTGAAGTGTGACGGAGTTTAGTAGTTTGGACGCGATCGAAAATAAACTGATTTTCCGATCAAGTGGATTTAAACTTCACCCAAATGCAAGCAAGTAGCTATCAGGACTCAGTAGCTATGTGGATAACGTGATGGCGTTTGAAGCGAACGGTACTGATTTCGAGCTCCAAAACGAACATCAACTCTGAGGTGCAGGTAAATCTAGCTGACGAGTAACGAATAGGACGAAACGCGCTTTGTCCTGAATGCCACTGCTAGCCACTATCCATCTTTGCATATAATGCTTGTGAATTAAGGCTATATCGAGGCAATACCCACAGTATGCACATATGCCAATAAGACTGATCAATTACAGTCCTAAGCATCAATGGGAAGATTCAGACACACAATACCGAGTGGATTTATTTTCCGATAGTTTCGAATTGATGACGTAGGTCCTTTTTAAAAGTGGAAACGACGATTACGTCTTTCCACGATATTGGAACACGACTTTCCAAAGTTGGGGATCGGCCAAGGATCACCAGACTAAATCTTGCCATTAAGCATTAGTGTCATTGTTTATTTTTATCTGCCAAACTACTAGTTACCCATTATTTAATCCTATTCACCCTCAAACTTATCTTATTCATAGCTATATCACTTATTTTTAGCTTAACATCAGTGTTACCATCTCCACCCCTTGTTCAAAGTCGCTTGTGGCTTCGCGAAACGTCCCGCTTATAAGCACTGGGTTCCTACAGGCTCCTTTCAACTCATTAAAGCACGTTCGTTTACTTCGTGTGACTGCGAGTTTGACCACAAACGGTTGTTACGTATTAAAACTGTGCAAAGCTTGCTTAAGGACTGAAAAGCCCGGTGGTCGGGGCGCGCTGACGAGTTGCAAACAGCAGTTGCATCTGCAAACTACCAAAAGCTCTTTTAACTCGTCTGAGTCATTGGCAGCCAGAAGTCTGGTGTGAATGAAACAATCTATGAAGCTGGTAGAATGCCAATCAACTACATGGTGGTCTTTCTTAACTTAAAAGAAGCATTTGACTCCGTAGACCGCGAGATTCTGTGGCAGTGTCTGTCATTGAAAGGCGTACCTCAAGTACATAAACCTTGTAAAGGCTCTTTACTCGAACACTACTAGTCGAGTCAGAGCTTATGGCAAACTGTCATCTACTTTTGCAACCTCAAGTGGTGTCCGTCAAGGCTGTCCACTTTCTCCATTTTTGTTTAACTTCATCATAGACCTACTGATGGAGATAACATTCTCATCGACTGAATTCTCGGGTATTGATCTCCTTCCAGGAGGTCCACTGATCGACTTAGAATGTGCAGATGACATAGTCCTGTTTGGTGAAGACGCTGATAGAATGCAGAGTCTTTTGGTAGCACTAAGCAACAATGCCAGAATGTTTGGAATGTGTTTCTCTCTCTCTAAATGCAAGTTGTTGCTTCAGGACTGGTCTGCGTCAACACCTGAGCTAAGGATAGGGAGTGAAGTAGTCGAACGCGTCGACAACTTCACTTATCTTGGAAGTGTGATCAGCCCTAATGAGTTGGTGTCTGACGAAATCTCAGCACGGATTCGAAAAGCTCGTTTGACTTTTGCCAACTCACGTTACCTATGGCGAAGGCGATATATCCGTCTATCAATAAAAGGACGAGTATACTGCGCGGGAGTCCGTTCTGTTTTAATTTACGGCAGCGAAACATGGCGATTAAGAGTAGAAGACTCTCGTAAGCTACCAGTATTTGACCACAGATGCCTTAGAAATATTTCTGGCATCTGCTGGGATCACCGGGTAAGTAATAGTGAGGTTAGACTCAGGGTATTAGGGAATGATGGTAAATCAGTTGATCATGTTGTAAATCTTCATTTACTGAGATGGTTAGACCACGTGTTACGTATGCCTGAACACCGATTACCACGACGCGCAATTCTGACTAGTGTTGGGGATGGTTGGACAAAATTTAGGGGCGGCTAAACCAAAACGTGGCATCAGTGCTTGAAGTCACTAACCTGTGGTGTGAGCCATGTTGGTAGATGCAGACTACTTGTTTGGGGTCCGCATGACTATCGTAACGAATGGTTGGAGACTGTGTGTGATATGGCTCAGAATCGATCACAATGACGTAGCTGTATACACTCTTTGTCTTCCCTTAAACTATGAGATTAAAATCGCTTGATATCTTTATTTCTATGAAGTATTTCTTTCTTTCTGTACTATGCAATCTTTCTTTTATATGTTACTATCATTGAAGTGACTACTTGTATGAATGCGGTGTTCATGTTGTTGTGCTATTGATTGAAGTATTGCAACTTGAACTGATTCATATTTATGCGTGGCCCAATGTTGTAGCTGACTGACTGACAATCAACTACATCTACCAACGTCTTGGGAGGTGGGCAAAGTTTCTCGAGGAATAGTCCAACTGCTCTCTTGTCCTGGCAGCATTAATCAGACTGTCGTTTCCTTCATGGATGGTAATCCATCTAATGAGGCAGAAGTCCTCAAGTTGAAGCATCACAAATCACCAGGCTCAGATGGCTGACTTTCAGCCCTTTTTAAAGATGCTGGCGAACCTTTGGTCAAGGAACTGACTGAGTTGCTTGCAAATGTTTGGCATTTAGTGAGTGTTCCAACTTAGCGGAATGAGTCGATAGTTGTTTTTAACCTTAAAAAGGGTTCACGTCGTTTCTGTAACAACTATCGAGGGATAAGTCTACTCCTAATTGCATCCAAACTGTTGTCTTCCGTCATACTTCGTAGATTGTTTAAATCCGGGAAAGACTGATTCACGAGGAACGGGCTGCTTTTCGTTCTGATCGGGGGTTTATTGATCATATTTTCACTCTCCATCAAATGTTAGAACACTTTCATACTTATCACAGGCCCACAAACTTAGTGTTTCTTGACTTTAGGGCCTCCTTTGATGGACAGGACTGTTCTCTGGGAGTCTTTTGAAGAACGGTGTACCTGAGAAGTTTATTAATATCTTAAAAGCCCTATATACAAACATCTCAGGCAGAGTGAGGGGATACAACCACCTCTCTCCATTGTTCCATTCAAGCAGTGAGTTTAGGCAGGGTTACCCAATCTCACCATTCCTCTTCAACTTTGCCATCGACAACATTCTGGAAACAGCTCTGGTGAATGTAATTAATGGTGGCGTGGATCTGTTGCCTGGAGAAAGACTTCTCGACCTTGAGTATGCGGATGATATTGTCTTGCTGTGCGATGATACCCAAGCCATACAATTCGCACTTAATCAGTTGGTAGTCAGTTTCTGTAGGTATTGCATGTGCTTTGCACCTTCTAAGTGCAAAGCACTTTTATAAGACTGGCAGGACCCTGAATCTGAACTCACTCTGAGCGGTGAGCAGGTAAAAGTAGTAGAAAAAATCATGTATCTGTATAGCTGTGTAAATGCCAGTGATAGCGTGGGTGATGAGATCGATTCACGTTAAATGAAAGCTAGAGTGGATTATGTCAATCTGAGTCATCATTAACGTCTTCGTGTTGTTAGTCTGAGTGTGGAAGGTTGGATCTACAATGCGTCGGTGAGAGCAGTTCTGCTCTATGCTTGTGAAACCTGGCCTCTCCGAGTTGAGGTTGTTAGACGACTCTCTGTGTTTGATCATCGTTGTCTCCGAAGGATTGCTGACATCCAGTGGTAACACCATGTTAGTAATGCAAATGTTCTGCATCGTGTGTTCGGACACAGCGACGATAACCCAATTGATATCACCATATTGAAACACCGACTTCGGTGGCTTGGACATGTCTTACGAATGTTGTCCTAGTGAATTCCACATCGTGCATTATTTGCCGACTCTGGGACCGGTTGAAAAAAGCGGAGGTGGTCAGTGTATCAAATGGTGTCGTGGTATGAAAAAAAAGTTGTACAGGACTGGCTTTTGTTGATCCTTCACAACTCCCTGGTTGGGGTCCTAGAAATGGTGCAACACAGTGGCTTGAGACGTTATCAGACACGGCCCAGAATAGAAGCTAGTGGCAATCCTGCTGTAACTTTCTTTTACTTCATAAATAGTGAACGTCAATTTTTTGACTGAAAGGATTCTTTCTGGTTGTATTTTTGTTAACTGTTTCTCCCATTATTATTATTATTATTATTATTATTATTATTATTATTATTTCACTCTCGTACTCTAATTTATGTTCGTTGTTGCTCTTCTTTTATTATACCCTCCATTCTGTATAGCTTCACAATCTTATCGTTATTATGTGGAGCATATGTACTTATTACCCCCCTTGTACCAATGTTTAGGTGTCCAAATAAATAAATAAATAAAATTATGGTACACTAATCCCTGTATACATTATCCTTTATTTTGTAGATTCACTCTGCAAACCGATCGTCTGGTCCATTGTGAGTATATAACATTTTCTATGTAACTATCTGAGATGACACAGAAAATGTTATCATGAATGTTAAGACCGTCAAACAATAAGTATAGCTCGCTTCCAAGAACAATAATATTTAAAATATTGCTTTGCCAAATCACAGACTCTAAAAAAACTAAGCCGCTGTTTTAATCAAAAGTAAACTCCACTAATATTTTGGGGTTTTATTTATTTATAGCTCCAGGAAATGCGTCACACAATGGTTACGAAACACTTTATATAAAATAACGGTACCACTTTGCTGCTCAAACGTAGGCAGCCCCGGAGGACTCAAACTTGAGACCAAATGACTAGACGCTAGACTGTGTAATCTCTGAGATCATCGGTTCATTTAGTTATACATTAAATACCTCATGTATGTGTCAAGTCATTCATCACAGAGTCATATTATGGAGTTATTCTCAAGCTAGCAGTATTTTTCCCTACACCCTATTTTATCAAATAACATTTTCTTTCATTTATCATACCCTATAGATATAGTCAAGCTGCCAAAATTATTGAATCACGTCGCACAAAATATAATGACTTTGAATTAATTAAAGTGATCGGGCAAGGAGGATTTGGCCGAGTTGAATTAGCCAGACACAAGCGTACACGACGTGTTTATGCCATAAAATTAATGAGTAAACAACACTTATTAGACCATAGTCAGTCTGGTTATTGGGAAGAACGTGATGTTATGGTGAAAGCATCAAGCGAATGGTTGGTTGCTTGTCATTATGCGTTTTTAGTAAGTTCAAATTATATGCTATAATGTTTTCACGTTTTCTACTTCAAAACTAATGTTGTTAATGGATACCCTTTAGCGATAACTTTTACGACTAAGGTTTTTGTTTATCATCCAAACCCGAAAATTACGTATATATCTTGCTAATGAATGACAGTGAATATAAAGCATGGACTAATCAAGACTTTGTGTTTCTCTTTTCTAGCCATTCAGTTGTTAATACACTACAGCATTTTGTTAATTATTCAGCTAACTAAAATGATCACATTACAAAATTTCGTCAACTGAGTTAATTCTAAAAACTAACTGGGAAATTATTAATTACTATTCTGTGACTCAATTAGTCTAAAAGTTCGTTTATTTTCACTTAAACAAAAGATAGACAATTCAAGTTAATACTAATATTTAGTCCTCAAATGCCCTGGTACGGTCGAGGATGGGGAGAGTCAGCCCTCCCTCTCCAAATGCTCTTACATGGCCTCGTGTATACAGCCACTGCCAGGGAAATCCTACTCACTGCTTTCTCGTGGCGGGGTGTTGTTTATGAAATTGAGATGACGAAAAGCTAATGTCAGGTGCTTTAACCGGGTTAGTAGATATGAAGTGTTTATTCGTGAATCCATGATTATCTTTATTATACAAGATTATTTACTTAGTCGGTACAGATTTCTTATATCGACTAAATCCACCCAGCAATCTTTATTTCATGTTAGACCATTCAATAATTCAAGCATATCCAGAACGTACCAAACAGGTTGGTATTAAGCAATACCCAAGGTCATATTTTTTCAGTGACCCTTTTTTCACAACCGTACATTGTAACGGAGTTCAGTGTTTACAGTGTACTATCATTGCCTTACGGTCTGATATCTTAAGTGCAATAAACTTTTAGAAACAGTCTAACACAGTTACTAAGATCAGGGTTATGTACTTAGCTTTGAGTTACATTGTTTGTGTGTTTGGGGCATTAATATTGTTTATCTACCAAAACTAAGCTAGATAGGACAAAGTTCAAACTAGTAATCTACTTATTGGAAGCCAATTATTTTAATCACTAAACTATCCACTTGATATAAATTTCGAAACTGAAATTTCCTCTAAGCTTCAAGTCTGTCTGCTAATTCGTCTGAATGGATGTATTCATTCGATACAATAATAACATGTTCTAGGCTAGATACCACTAGGTAATTAATCCTGTACCATATTCTTTTCTTCCCAGTTTATATAATCTAAAACTGTTTGTTATACTTGCTACAAAATTGTACTGGCTCACATTTATGTAGAGCTATATTCATTTTATTAGTGAGCTCTCCAATGACCAAATTCGAGATATATTTCTCGGATCCTAAGTTAAAAGGGGTGTCTTTGGAGTCATATATATTGATTGTGGTGGTTACTCACTTTGTGATATATATTACGAAGTGACCGGAGTTAAAAACATATCCAGGATTGCCATTTTGATTTAGAGGTAAAATGGTTTTGTTTTCTTGACTGCTAAATTTAAAGGTTTTGTGTCTAATCCTTTGTTGCGTCATATAGTGTTCATTGCTGAGTTGTTTCAGGCTAGAAAACGAACATCTTTTACTGCTACTTGGTTTTCAATGGTTATCCAGTTATTAATTTAGGGGATTGGTAAACATTGTCCAATTTAATAGTTGACATCACGGACTGATTATCTTAAAGCAACCTTTGGAAGTCGAGAAACACTGGGAAGCTGTTTCATCACAACATGTGACTCCTTAGCGGTAGGCACCCACAGCCTCATCAGGTTTATGACCCAAAACATTCAGGCTTCTTGGCTAGCACTTAACTTGTCGATCACCAAGTTCGTACCCATTACACCATATATTTTGACTTGAATCAATTCTAGACATTAAGTAAATATGACTTCAATTCTTTCACAATGTTTATTGTTTTATTCCCGACTTGGTTAATCATTAGAAAGTGTTGATTTTCTACCGGAAGTTTAGAAAATCTATTGTAAAATCATCTACTAGTGAACATAAGGCTATTGTTATTACTGTTACGAATATTATTAAAATAGAATTTTTCGAAGAGATAACCCTCGAATTCCTCTCCGTTCAGTGCTGTTACGGGTATGAGGCCTGATGTCACTTCCCGGCTGCCCCACATCATGGAAAGATATCTCTTGAGGAACCTGAAAAGAAAGTTGGATTAGTGTTGGTCTTAACGACCTAGGAGCATGACCACAGAGCCCAAGGGACACCTGCTTGAGGCCGGTCACTCACGGCCTTTTTGTGGGAGTTTTTAACGTGTTAGCTCCGTTCTTCAAAGCGTCTTACCGCCGGAGATGGAAATCTGTGAGGTAAGGTGAGGTGTGACATTTTAGTGTCAACCTTTTATAACCCCATCCTTCCTTATAAGAAGGTAGCATTGCTGCAGATGTTGGTTGTCCGAAGGAAACACCTTACTGCTGTAACACCCCTCTACAGTCAGCAGTATGACTTCGCCCTCAGACCTTGTGTTGCTGCCTTTAATCTTATCATTCTCCAATTGACCTGCATGGTATAGTAGAACCTACAAGAACATATGTTCCAGCCAATATAACTCGGTTGGGTCATCACGACAGGCAAGCCCCACCACCACGTCAAGGTAGCAGCTACGGTCGAGCTCTGTTTAGGTAAGGGATCTGCATTAGCGAAATAGTAGGATTTAGCCGCTATATTGTAATAGAGGGGAAAGTAATTCCAAATAATCGTTTCATCTCTCCTCCTAAAGGTCCTATTATGAGTGTGATATATCTACACTTGATTTCTCAAATCAATAATAAAAAGATTGTAGTCTTTGTTATTGTTTAGTAGTTTACATGTATATATATGGACATTTCAACACATTGTCTTAATGACGTATCTTATATACATTATGTACTATTTCAATATGTATCATGAAACTCTCTCTTTCTCTCTCTCTCTCTCTCTCTCTCTCTCTCTCTCTATATATATATATATATATATATATATATATATATATATATATATATATATATATATATATATGTTTATTATTAGTACATTATTCTCTTAAATTTATGAATCAATTCATATGTAAAATTGACATTAAAAACAATGGACTTTTTTGGTTTATTCCGATGTTGTCTACTTAACAAAATCACAAGACCAATGCTCAATATATATATATATATATATATATAACTTTAGGTTTATTTCATTTAATTTAACTTGCAGACAGTCATAATATAAGCCATTCTCATTGGAATTATCAAACTAATAAGGGGTTCTTTCATTGCGTTAATTCTTGTATAGCTCTCTCTCTCTCTCTATATATATATATATATATATATATATATATATATATATATATATATATATATATATATATATATATATGCCTACGCTCCCACCGACTGCAGCTCAGATGAAGTGAAAGATGAATTTTACAGAAAGCTATCTGAACTTCTTCAGAAAGCTAAACGTTCAGACATAGTGCTCGTAGCAGGTGACTTTAATGTCCAGATAGGTAGTTTAAACCAAACAGAAAGGCATTTAGGTGGGTATTTTAGTATTCCGACACAACGAACAGATAATGGTGATCGTCTGCTGCAACTGTGCTCAGACAATCGTTTATTTTTAGCAAACACAGATTCTAAGCATAAGGAGAGACATCGTCTAACATGGCACCCCCTACACCAAACCAACGATGAAGTAGGTCCCCAACTCTAGCAGAAGTTCGAAAGGTTATAGTTAATCTGAAACGAGGAAGGGCAGCTGGTCCAGATGGATTGGCTCCAGAAGTCTTTAAGGATGGTGGTCCAATTTAGCGATTAGGTTGACTAATATTTTAGCTAAAATCTGAGAGTTGGACGTAATCCCACCAGACTGGTTGTAATCAATTATTGTTCCGATATATAAGAAGGGGTCGAAATCATCCTGTGATAGCCATAGAGGGATTAGTTGGACTAATATAGCATCTAAAATAATAGTCTCAATAGTTGTCGGGCGCCTTACTAAGACTCGTGAACTGCAAACACGAGAGAATCAAGCTGACTTCAGACCTGGTCGTGGCTGCATCGACCACATATTCACCATTCGTCAGGTTCTAGAACACAGGCATGCTTATCGGCGTCCGACATTGGTTATCTTTCTTGACTTAAAAGTAGCATTTAACTCTGTAGACCGCGAGATTCTGTGGCAGTGTCTGTCATTGAAAAGTGTACATCTGAAGTACATAAACCTTGTGAACGCCCTCTACTCGAACACTACTAGTCGAGTGAGAGCTTGTGGCGAACCGTCAACTCTGAATCTTCACCGACTGAGATGATTGGGCCACGTGTTACGTATGCCTGAACACCGATTACCACGACGCGCAATTCTGACTAGTGTTGGGGATGGTTGGACAAAATTTAGGGGTGGCTAAACCAAAACGTGGCATCAGTGCTTGAAGTCACTAACCTGTGGTGTGAGCCATGTTGGTAGATGCAGACTACTTGTTTGGGGTCCGCATGACTATCGTAACGAATGGTTGGAGACTGTGTGTGATATGGCTCAGAATCGATCACAATGACGTAGCTGTATACACTCTTTGTCTTCCCTTAAACTATGAGATTAAAATCGCTTGATATCTTTATTTCTGTGAAGTATTTCTTTCTTTCTGTACTATGCAATCTTTCTTTTATATGTTACTATCATTGAAGTGACTACTTGTATGAATCCGGTGTTTATGTTGTTGTGCTATTGGTTCAAGTATATCAATTTGAACTGATGCATATATATGTGTGGTCCTATGTTGTAGCTGACTGACATATTCTTGTCACCGTTTATTTACCCTAACCTGATGTGATACCCCCCTGGTTAACACAGTGGATAAGTGAGATTTGTTCGTATTTGAAATTTTCTCATGTAAATATCACTAAATTATCATATACTAGTAAATAAATCATAATTCACCACAAAGCAGTGACCTAATAATCAAAGAACTTGACCTTTAACCATTGAGTTTTAGGCTCTCAAAACCCATCGCACATA